TTGATTGATTTTTTATCTTTTTTTTCATGGTTGATTGGTTTTCTTTATTTTATTTCATGGTTGATTGGTTTTTAATTTTTTTCATAGTTGATTGGTTTTTTTTCATGTTTGATTGATTTTTTATTATTTTTTTCATGGTTGATTGGTTTTCTTTATTTTATTTCATGGTTGATTGGTTTTTTTTTCATGGTTGATTGGTTTTCTTTATTTTATTTCATGGTTGATTGGTTTTTCAATTTTTTTCATAGTTGATTTGTTATTTTCTTCATGTTTGATTGATTTTTTAGTTTTCTTTCACATTTTTCTTAATTGATTGGTTTTATTTATTTTTTTGATTTTTTTCATGGTTGATTTGCATTATTTTGTTTTCTGCTTTTTTCATGATTAGTTGTTTTTTTTATTTTTTTTTTTTCATTGTTTATGGTTTTTTTTATATTTTTCATGGTTGATTGGCTTGATTCATTTATCTTTTTTCTTCAAGGTTGATTGATTTTTTTGATTTTTTTTAAATTTTTCATGGTTGATTGGTTATTTTTTTTTATTTTTTTCATAGTTGATTGATTTTTCTTATTTTGTTTAATTTTTCATTATCGATTGATTTTTTCTTGATGGTCGGTTGGCTATATTTATTTTTTTTTGTTCATGGTTGATTGGTTTTTTTTTAATTTTTTCATGGCTGATTGAATTTTTTTTTCATGGTTGATTGGTTTTTTTTTCTAAAATGTATGATTGACGTTTTTTTATTTTTTTTTGGTTGATTGATTTTTTATTTTTTTTCATGGTTGATTGTTTTTTTTTCATTGTTGAAGAGTTTTCTTATTTTTTTGAGATTTTTCCTTATTCTTCTCAATTTTGGGGATCTTTTCCAATTTTTTCGATTATTTCAAAATATTCAGGATCTTTACGTATTTTTTTTGGACTTTTATCATATTTTCCCGATTTTTCGGAATTTTATCGGAATTCATTCCACTATTTAAGGACTTTTTCCAATTTTTACAATTTTTCGGGACTGTTTTGGATTCTTTGCGATTTCTTGGGTTTTTTTCTGATTTTTTTTTTCGAAATTTTTAAGTATTTTGTGAGTTTTTTGGATTTTTCCTGATGTTTCGCGATTTTTCGGGATTTCTTCAGATTTTATTCCACTTTTTCGGATTTTTGGGATTTTTTTCAATTTTTACGATATCTCAGGATTGTTTGGTATTTTTTAAGAGATTCTTTCTGATTTTTCCTATTGTAACGACACAGGGTTCCCTTACGGACAGTATCACGTGACAATTGCACCATTGCGCTGTGATTGCATCAGCGTCTGTAAATATGTTTTTTGTATTACGTAATTATTATTTTAAGGTTTGGTTAGGTTATTTAAAGGGTTAATTCATAAGTTAGGGGTAGTCTTGTCGAAAGTTTTGCCGTACTGCTTGGAGCTCTGCCGCTAGTTTTGTCGTGCCTGTTGAAGCCGTGTCGTTATTTGTCGAGCTTGCTGTTAGCCGTTAGTCGTATCATTGCCATAAAAAGAAGAATTTTGATCTTATCTGCCGTTGCCGTATTTTTGAGAATTTCTGCCTACAAAAAACTCACGTTTGTAAAACCCCCATTTTAAGAGGTTTTAAACTATTCTTGGGATTTTTTTGTTCTTTTTCTATTTTCAGTTTTTTGAAGATTTTTTTTTTTTAAGATATTTCGGGATTTTGAGAGATTTTTGATATTCTTCAATATTTTTAGTGATGTTAGGGATTTTTTCCGAATTTTTCCTATTTTTCCCATTTTTAGAGATTTTGAGAATTTCTTATTGGATTTGACTCGATTTTTCGAGATTTTTTCCAATTTTTTCAAGTTTTTCTGAATTTTGAAGAATTTTTTATATTTTTCAATATTTTTCTGGATTTTGAGAGATTATTGATATTTTACAGTATTTTTCGGATTTTAAGGGATTTTTCTCCAATTTTTTTGAGTGAAGTTGGCTTGCTAAAAAGAAGTGCTCGTGGCTCTAATCAATGAGTCAATGCAGAGCATTGTCTGGAAGTGTTGTCCAAAAAGTATTTGTTGTTGGAAAAAGTCTATGGAAACTGGAGTCGCATTTGCATTATCTCGGTTTTCAATGGGTGCATCATATAAAAACATGACTTTCAAGTTATGAGAATAGAACCTTGAAAATATTTCGAGGCAAAAAGGATAAGAAAAGCTAAGAGGGCTATGACCACCACTGCAAAGAAGAGGAAAGCAGATTTGAAACTTAAGAAATCACGATCTAGTAAGGACGCGAGGAAGCGAGAAGGAAAAATATATGAGAGTGAAGGTTCTGTTGTTTAATCTGATCAATTTTGTAAACATGAACTGTTTTGAGAGTAAATTTATCATTTATATAATTGATATAATAATGATTGCTCCATAAATAATTATTTTCTATGTTAAAACTGCATGAAAATGTAAGTTTCTCCAAACGTTTTTTGCTTCCAAAACTTTAACTGCGAATTATTCAAGTATAATTTTTAGCCCGCTGACCAAACTAAGTTACCAAGTTTTATAATGAATTCAAACCTCTGTAACCTATAAATCAAAATGATCCTTAAATCATGCGATGCAATGAAGATGCTTGATTTAAAGTTGACATACAGGGATTTTTTCCTTAGGCAACAATCTAAAAAACATTTGAAGGCTGGATTATCCAGTTTTTGTATTTTGACATCAATTTTTACAATAAGTGTAAAAAGAGTGGAAAAATATGGCTTAGTTGCACTCTCCAGCTCTTGACAAACAATTTGACAATACTTTTTGATGATGCTGTTGGAAAGTCAATGCACACTCAACTATTGGATTTTGAAAAACAATACATCGCTCGTTACTATAGCAAAGGTTAATCAAATTATTTTGTAACTTGAATTTTCAAAATCTACAGTATAACTTTCGTCAGATTACATTAAACCGAGATCTCTAATTGATACAATTTTAACATAGAAAGGGTTTAGGGTTACGGTTAAGGTTAGGGTTAGGGTTAGGGTTAAGGTTAGGGTCAGGGTTAGGGTTAAGGTTTGGATCAGGGTTAGAGTTAGGGTTAGAATTAGGATTAGGGTTAGAGATAGGGTTAGGTTTAGGGTTAGGGTTATGGTTAGGGTTAGGGTTAGGGTAAGTGTTAGAGTTATGATTAGGCTTAGGTTTAGGGTTATTGTTATGGTTAGGGTTATGGTTAGGGTTGAAGATAATGCTAGGGTTAGGGTTAGGGTTAGGATTAGAGTTAAGGTCAGGGTTAGAGATAGGGTTTCAAAAACAAAATCAGAAATCGAAGGGTTTATATTGTATGGTTGAGATTTTAAAAAGAAACTATGAAACTAAGGATGAAGAAAAAATCAAAATTATCAAATAGAAAGTCGACCACACCAGAAAAACAAGTTTTTGGGACATTTGAAAAACATTTGAGTTCTGTAAAGCCGCCGAAAGTTTGAAGTTACAAAGTTTTTAAGGCAATATATTAAGCTGCAAATTGAAAACCAACATTTCAATTGTAAAAAAACATGAACCCAGTATTTTTCTCACAATTGCTGAATATATTTGAGCTTGCCGTACATTAAAAAATAAACTGTGAAGTTTCGGTTCCAGTAGCTTGCATAATTTCAGAGAATATTGCCCTCATACAACGATATATCAAGATTTTTGGATTCAAATACAAAATCGGAAATCGAAGGTTTTACTTGGAAAGGTTGAGATTTTACAAAAAAACTATGAAACCAAGGAACTAGGAAAATACAAAATTATCAATTACAAAGTCAACCAAATTAGAAAAACCAATCAATTTTCGAAGTCAGCAAATGTAAAGAAGCATCAACCAAATATTTTTCTAACAACTGCTGAATATATTTGAACCTGCCGTATCTTAAAGAAAAAACAGTTACATTTTGTTTTCAGTATCTTGCATAGTTTCAGAGAAAATTGCACTTATACAAAGATAAATCAAGAATTTTGATTTCAAATAAAAAATCAGAAATCAAAGGGTTCATTTTGTACGGTTGAGATTTTACAAGAAACTATAACACTAAGGTTAACGAAAAAATCAAAATTATCAATTAGAAGATCAACAAAACCAGAAGAACAAGTTTTTGGGGAATTAAAAAAAAACATTTAAGTTCTTTAAAGCTGCTGAAAGTTTGAATTTAGAAAGTTTTTCAGGAAATATATTAAGCTGCAATTTGAAAACTGACATTTCAATTTTGTGTAAAACATAAACAAAATATTTTTTTCACAATTGCTGACCATATTTGAGCTTGCTGTACAATAAAAAATAAACTTTGAAATTTCGGTTCCAGTATCTTGCATAGTTTCAGATAAAATTGCATTCATACAAAGATAAGTCAAGATTCTTGGTTTAAATACCAAAAAATAGAAATCGAAGGGTTAGGGTTAGGGTTAGAGTCAGGATTAGGGTAAGGATTGAGGTTAGGGTTTGGGAAGGAGTTTGGGATATGGTTAGAGTTTGGATTAGTGTTAAGGTTAGGGCCAGGATTCAGGTTAGGGTTATTGTTAGGGTTAGTGTTAGGGCTAGGGTAACGGTTAAGGTTAGGGTTAGGGTAAGTGTTAGGGTTAGGGTTCCAGCACCAGCACTATCCAAAGCACCATCCTAAGCACAAGGACAGGAACAAGAGCCAGAAACAGCACCAGCACCAGCAAAAGCACTGGCACCAGCACCAGCACCAGCACCAGCACCAGCACCAGCACCAGCACCAGCACAAGCACTAGCACCAGCTCAAGCACAAGCACCAGCACCAGCTCCTCCACTAGTACAGGCACCAGCACAAGCGCCAGCACCGGCAATAGCACCAGCACCAGCAACAGAACTTAAACCGGTAGAAGAACCAGTAGAAACACTAGCATAAGAGTAGGCACCGGCACAAGCACGAGCACAAGAGCTGGTAGGAGAACAAGAACCAGCACAAGCACTTTCAAATAGCACAAGCAACAGCACAAGCATCAGCACAAGCATCAGCACCAGCACAAGCACCAGCACCAACTCAAGCACCAACTCTAGCACCAGCACAAGCACCAGAACTATCACCAGCACCAGCAGGAGCACCAGCACAACCCTTAGCACCAACATAAGCAACAGGATAAGCATTAGCACCAGCACTATCACAAGAACCAGAACCAGTACCAGCAGGAGCACAAGTATCAAAAACAGGACAAGCACAAGCTCCAGCAAAAGCACCAGCACCAGCACCAGCATAAGTACCAGCACCGGAACAAGCACCAGCACAAGCACCGGCACAAGCATAGGCACCAGCACCAGCATCAGCACCGGTACCAGTACAAGCACCAGCATAAGCACCAGCACAAGCACCAGCACCTGCACCACCACCACCACCACTAAAAGCACTACCACTAGCACCAGCACAAGCACAAGCACAAGCACCAGCACAAGCACCAGCATCAGCATCAGCACAAGCATCACCACCACCACCACCACGAGCACTACCACCAGAACAAGCACTATCCTAAGCACCATTCTAAGCATAAGAACAGGCACAAGTGCAAGAAACAGAACCAGCACCAGCACAAGCATCGGCACCAGCCCAGGCAGCAGCACCAGCACCAGCACCAGCAACAGCACCAGAAGCAACATCAGCACCTTCACTAATACAAGCACAAGCACCAGCAGTCGTATAATCACCAGCACAAGCACCGGTACCAGCACAAGCACCGGTACCAGCACAAGCACCAGCGCCAACTTAAGCACCAGCACAAGCACCATAACTATCACCAGCACCAGCAGGAGCACAAGCACCTGCACAAGGCTTAGCACCAACACAAGCAACAGGATAAGCATCAGCACCAGCACTAACACAAGAACCAGAACCAGTATCAGCAGAAGAACAAAAATGAAAAACAGCACAAGAAAAACCTCCAGCACAAGCATCAGCACCAGCACAAGCACAAGCACCAGCACCAGCACCAGCACCACCACCAGTACAAGCACCGGCACAAGCATAGGCACTAGCACCAGCACCAGCACCAGTATCAGCACCGGTAACAGTACAAGCACCAATATAAGCACCAGCACTAGCACCACCGCCAGCACTACCACCAGAACCAGCACTAGAACCAGCATTAGCAGCGGAAGTGGCATTAGTACAAGCAACTGCACAAGCGCCAAAAAGCACAAGCGCAAACTCCAGGACAAGCATCAGCACCAGAACCAACACCAGTACGAGCTCCAGTACTAGTACAGGCAACAGCAAAAGCGCCGACACCAGCACCAGCACTAGCGCAAGCACCAGCAGTAGTATCAGCACCAAGACGAAAACCAGTACAAGAACAGACACAAAAGGCGGACAAGAGTAGGCACGGGCACAAGCACAAGCACTGGTACAAGCACCAGAACAAGCACTGCTACTAGCACAAGCATCAGCACAAGCATCAGGACAAGCATCAGCACAAACACAAGCATAAGCACCAACACAAGCACCAGCACAAGCACCAGAACCATCACCACCAGCAGCATCAGCACCAGCCTTAGCACTAGTACAAGCACTAGCACAAGCATTTGGCATAGGCCCAAGAACCAGCACAAGCACTGGTACGAACAACAGCACCAACACTAGCTCCAGCACCAGCACCAGCACCAGCACTAACACAAGAATCAGAACCAGTACCAGCAGAAGCACAAGCACAAGCACCAAAAACAGCACAAGCATTAGTTCCATCACAAGCATCAGCACCAGCACCAACACAGGCAATAGCACCAGCACCAGCACCACCACCAGAATCACCACCAGCACCAGCCTAGGCACCAGGACAGGGAAAAGCGCCAGCACCAACACCAGCACCAACACCAGCCACAGCACCAGCACCAGCACCAGCACCAGCGCCAGCGCCAGCACCAGCGCCAGCACCAGCGCCAGCACAAGCGCCAGCACCAGCGCCAGCACCAGCGCCAGCACCAGCGCCAGGAAAAGCGCCAGCACCAGCGCCAGCACCAGCCAGCACCAGCACCAGCACAAGCGCCAGCAGCAGTGCCAGCACCAGTGCCAGCACCAGCACCAGCACCAGCACCAGCACCAGCACCAGCGCCAGCACCAGCGCCAGCACCAGCGCCAGCACCAGCGCCAGCACCAGCACCAGCGCCAGCAGCAGCGCCAGCACCAGGACCAGCACCAGCGCCAGCACCAGCACCAGCACCAGTGCCAGCACCAGTGCCATCACCAGTGCCAGCACCAGTGCCAGCACCAGTGCCAGCACCAGGACCAGCACCACCGCCAGTGCCAGCACCAGTGCCAGCACCAGCGCCAGCACCAGCGCCAGCGCCAGCACCAGCGCCAGCACCAGTGCCAGTGCCAGCACCACTGCCAGCACCAGTGCCAGCACCAGCGCCAGCACCAGCACCAGCATCAGCGCCAGCACGAGCATCAGCACCAGCATCAGCACTAGCGCCAGCACCAGCACTAGCACAAGCTCCAGCACAAGCTCCAGCACCAGCATCAACACAGGCACAAGTACCAGAACCAGCCCTAGCACTAGTACAAGCACCAGCACAAGCACCGGCACCAGCACCAGCTCCAACACCAGCTCTAGTATTAGAACAGACACCAGCTCAAACGCCGGCACCTGCCCAGGCTCCAGCACCAATTCAGGCACCAGCACAGGCACCAGCACAAGCACCGGAACCACTACCAGGACCACCACCAGCACCAGTACCATCCTAAGCACCAGGACAGGAACAAGAGCCAGCACCAGCACAATTACCAGCACAGGCACAGGGTCAAGCACCAGCACCAGCACCACCACCACAACCAGCACAACCACCAGCACAAGCACCAGTCTAAGCACCAGGACAGGAACAAGCGCCCGCACCAGCTCCAGCACCAGTACAGGCACAATCACAAGCGCCAGCACAAGCCTAGGGACCACCATTAGCACCAGCATCACTAAGCACGAGGACAGGCACAAGCGCCAGCATCAGCACAAACACCACCAACAGCAAAAGCAACGCCACAGGCACCAGAACAAGCGCATACACCGGACCAGGCACTAGCACCAGCACAAGCAACGGCACAAGGACGGGCACTAGCACCAGCACTAGCAACAGAAGCAGCACCAGCTCCAGCAATATTACAGGCACCAGCATAGGCACCAGCATCAGCACAAGCACCAGGTCCAGCACAAGCACCAGCACCAGAACCAGAACCAGAACCAGAACCAGCACTAGCACTAGTACATGCACCAACACAAGCACAAGGACCAGAACGTCCCAAGCTACAGCAAGACCAACGGTACAAGAATAAGCTTTACAACCAGTGCCAGCACCAGATCTATCACAAGTACAGGCACCAGCAGAAGCACCAGCACCAAATTCACCACCAGCACCAGCACAAGCATCAGCAGCAGCAGAAGCATCAGCACCAATACAAGCACCAGCATGAGAACCTGCACTGGCCCAAGTTCCAGCACAAGAACCGGTACGAGAACAAGCACAAGCACCAGCACCATCACCAGCTCTAGCACTAGCACAGGCACCAGCAAAGGCACCATCACGAGCTCCAGCACTAGCACTAACACCAGCACCAGCACCAGCACCAGCACCAGCCTAGGCACCAGGACAGACCCAAGCGCAAGCTTCAGCACTAACACCAATCCAGACACAAGCAGAAGCACGAGTACCAGCACCAGCTCCAGCTCCAGCACCAGCCAGGTATAAGCACCAACACAAGCACAAGCCCAAGCAACAGCACCACTACCAGCCTCAGCTCCAGCTTTAGTACCGGCCACACCAAAGGCACCAGCACAGCCACCAGTACCACCACCAACACCAACACCACCACCAGAACGGCCTAAGATCCAGGACAGGCACTGGCACTGGCCAAAGCTCCAGCACAAGCTTGATAACGAGCACAAGCGCCAGCACCAGCATCAGCACCAATACCACCACCACCACCAGCATTAATACCACCCCCAGAACCAGCACAGGCACCAGCACCAATACAACCGCTAGCACCAGCAACAGCTCCAGCAGCAGCACCAGCACAAACACCGGAACGAGAACCAGAAGAAGCACCAGCACCAACACCAATACTACCATCAGCACCAATGCCACCAGTAGCACCAGCACAGGCACAAGCACCAGCACCAGCTCCAGCACTAGCTCCAGCACCAGCACCAGCACTAGTACAGGCACCAGCTCCAGCACTAAAACAGGCACCAGGACAAGCACAAGGACAGGCACAAAGAGAGGCACTAGGACAGGCACCAGTATCAGCACCAGCACCAGCCTAAGCACCAGGACAGGCACAAGCGCCGGCACCAGCACCAGCACCAGATCAAGCACTGGGTCCAATACAAGTAACAGCACTACCACCAGCATCAGCACCGTCACCTGTACAAGCACCAGCACAAGCACCAGCACAAGCACCAGCACAAGCACCAGCACAAGCACCAGCACAAGCACCAGCAGAAGCACCAGCACAAGGAACAGCACAAGGAACAGCAACGCCACCAGTACCAGCAGCACCACCAGTGTCAGCACCACCATCAACACCACCACAAGCACCACCACCAGCATCAGCACCAGGACAGGCACAAGCACCAGCACCAGCATCAGCAGAAGCACAGGCACCAAAACTAGCACCAGCACCCACAATAGCACAGGCACAAGCACCGGCCCAAGCATCGTCACAAGAACCGTTACGATCACCAGCAAGAAAAACCTGCTCCTTGCAGCAAAAAAAAAGATTGCCAATTGACAATTCATTTTAGGGAATTTAACATGGCACCGGCACGAGCACCAGCACCAACACCAGCATCAGCACCAGCACTAACACGAGCACCGGAACCAGCAGAAGCAAAAGCACCTGCATAAGCAACAGGACCATCACAAGAACAGGCAACAGCTCCAGCACAAGCCCCAGCACCAGCACTAGCACTAGCACCAGCACCAGCACTAGTACAAGCAGTTGCACTAGTACAAGCACAAGCACCAGCACCAACACCAGCACAAGCACCAGCACAAGCACCAGCACAAGCACCAGCACAAGCACCGGTACCAGCACAAGTACCTGCACCAGCACAAGCACCTGCACTAGTACCAGCACCAGCATTAGCACTAGCACCAGAACGAGCACCAGAACCAGCATTAGTAAAAGGCACCAGCACAAGCGCAAGCCCCGGACCAGGCGTTAGCACAAGCACCAGCACCAGCACCAGCACCAGCCCTAGCACCAGAACCAGCACCAGCTCCAGCAATATTACAGGCATTAGCATAGGCACCAACACCAGCACCAGCACAAGCACCTGGTCTAGCACAAGCACCAGCACCAGAACCAGCACTAGCAGTAGTACATGCACTAGCACAAGCACCAGCACCGGCCCATGCTCCAGCACAACCAACGGTACAAGAAACAGCTTTAGAACCAGTGCCAGCACCAGCACCAGATCCATCACTAGTATAGGCACCAGCATAGGGACCATCACGAGCTGCTGCACCGGCACCAAATTCTCCACCAGCACCAGCACCAGCACCACCACCAGCACCACCACCAGCACCACCACCAGCACCACCACCAGCACCACCACCAGCAATATTACTAAGCACCAGGACAGGCACAAGCGCCAGCACCAGCACCAGCACTAACCCAAGCAACATCACAGGTACTTGCAATAATACAAGAGCCGGCACTTGCCCAAACTCCTGCACAAAAGCCGGTACAAGCACTAGCACAAGCACAAGCAGAAACATCATTACCAGCAGCAGCTCCAGCACCAGCAGCGGTACAAGTACCAACACAACCACAAGAACATGCACCAGCACCAGTACCAGAACTAGTACAGGCACTATCACAAGCGCAGGCACCTGATACAGCGCAAACACTAGCACCAGTACCAGCACCAATACCACCAACACCACCAACACAGGCACCAGCACCAGCACCAGCACTAGCACAAACAACAGCACCAGCACCAGCATCAGCCTAAGCACTAGGACAGGCACAAGCGCCAGAACCAGCATCAGCACTAACACCAGCACCAGCTAAAGCACTAGCAATAGTACAAGAGCCGGCACTTGCCCAAGCTGCAATACAAACACCGGTACGAGCAATAGCACAAGCACAAGCGCAAGCGCCAGCACCAGAACCGTCACCAGAAGCAGCACCATTTCCAGCACTAGTACAGGCACCAGTTCAAGAGCCTGCACCGGCCCAGGCACCAGAACAAGCACTACCACCAGCAAAAGCACCCGGTCCAGCACAAGCTCCAGAACCGCCACCAGCAGCAGCACCACCACCAGCAACAGCACCAGCCTAATTACCAGGAGAGGCACAAGCGCCAGCATCAGTAAAAGCAACGGGACAGGCACAAGCAGCAGGACCAGCACCAACACCAGCAAAGAACTGGGTCAAGCTCAAATACCAGGACCACCACCAGCACCAGCACCACCACAGCACCACCACCAGCACCGACACCAGCCTAAGCACCAGGACAGGCACAAGCGCCGGCATAAAAAAAGCATTGACACCAGCACCAGCACCAACACCATCACAAGAACCAGCACCAGTACCAGCTCCACCAGCAGCACCAGCATCAGCTCCAGCATTAGTACAGCCACCAGAAAAAGCGCCGGCACCAGCCCAGGCTCCAGCACTATTTCAGGCCCCAGCACAGGCACCAGCACTAGTAGAAGCACCAGGACCAATACCACCACCAGCACAACCACTTGCACTAGTACAAGAGCCCGCACTTGCCCAAGCCCCAACACAAACTCCGGTACGAGCACAAACACAAGCACAAGCACCAGAACCAGCACCAGCTCCAGCACCGGTACAAGCACCAGCACAAGCACAAGCACAAGCACAAGCACAAACACTAGCACCAGCAGTAATACAGGCACTAGCACAAGCGCTGGGACTGGCCCAGGCACCAGCACAAGAACCAGCACCTGCACAGGCACCAGTCCAGGCACCAGCACTACTAACACCAGCACCAGCACCAACAAAAGCACAAGTATCAGCAGCAGCAACAGCACAAGCACCAGTATCAGCAACAGCACCAGCAGCAGCTCCAGCAGCAGCCCCAGCACCAGCATCAGCACCAGCACTAGCATCAGCACCAGAACCAGCACAAGAACCGGCATGGGCACCAGCCCAAGCTCCAGCGCCAGCATGAGTATCATTATCAACACCAGCACCAGCACCAGCAAAAGCACCAGTATCAGCACCAGCAACAGCACCAGCACAAGCACCAGTATCAGCAACAGCACCAGCAGCAGCTCCAGCAGCAGCCCCAGCACCAGCATCAGCACCAGCACCAGCATCAGCACCAGAACCAGCACAAGAACTGGTACAGGCACCAGCCCAAGCTCCAGCACCAGCATCAGTATCATTATCAACACCAGCACCAGCAGCAGCAGCAGCATCAGTATCAGCATCAGCACCAGCACCAGCACCAGCACCAGCACGAGCTCCAGCACCAGCTCCGGCTCCAGCTCCAGCTCCAGCTCCAGCTCCAGCACTAGTAAAGGCACCAGTAAAGCACCAGCACCAGTAAAAGCACCAGCACCAGCACAAGCACCGGTTCCAGCACAAGCCTTGGCACCAGAACCAGCACCAGCACAACCAGAAGCACCACCACCACCACCAGCAGCAGCCTAAACAACAGGTCAAGCAGAAGCAACAGGACCAGCACCAACACAAGCAGCATCACAAGCAATTGGACCAGCACAAGAGCCTGCACCAGCACCAACACCAGCACCAGCATAAGCACAGAAAACAGCACCAGCATCTCCACCAGCACCAGCACTACCACCATAACCAGCAGCAGGTCCGGCAATAGTACAGGCACCAGCACAGGCACCAACACCAGCACCAGCACTAACACCACCACCTGCACTAAAACTAGCCTAAGCACCAGGACAGGCACAAGCTACTGCACCACCACATCAGCAACAGCACCAGCTCCAGCAGTAGCATCAGCACCAGCACCAGCACCAGCCTAAGCCTCAGCACCAGCACTAGCACTAGTACAAGAACCAGCACAAGCAACAGTATCAGCACCAGCACCAGCACCAGCACCAGCACTAACACCACCACCTGCACTAAAACTAGCCTAAGCACCAGGACAGGCACAAGCTACTGCACCACCACATCAGCAACAGCACCAGCTCCAGCAGTAGCATCAGCACCAGCACCAGCACCAGCCTAAGCCTCAGCACCAGCACTAGCACTAGTACAAGAACCAGCACAAGCACCTGTATCAGCACCAGCACCAGCACCAGCACCAGCACCAGCACCAGCAGCAGCACCAACACCAACACCAGCTACAGCACCAGCACAAGCATCAGCACAAGCACCAGCTCCTGCATAAGCACCAGGACAGGCACAAGCGCCAGCATCAGCAAAAGCGCCGGCACCAGCCCAGGCTCCAGCACTTATTCAGGCACCAGCACAGGCACCAGCACAAGCACTAGGACCAATAACACCTCCACCTCCAGCACCCAGCACAGGCACCAGCACCAGCACCAGCTCCAGCATTAGCACCAGCACCAGCAAAGCTTCATCACCAGCACAAGCACTTTGCACCAGTACAAGATCTGGCAGTGGCCTAAGCTCCAGCCAAACAAACACCAGTACAGCAACAGCACCAGCAGCAGCTCCAGCAGCAGCCCCAGCACCAGCATCAGCACCAGCACTAGCATCAGCACCAGAACCAGCACAAGAACCGGCATGGGCACCAGCCCAAGCTCCAGCGCCAGCATGAGTATCATTATCAACACCAGCACCAGCACCAGCAAAAGCACCAGTATCAGCACCAGCAACAGCACCAGCACAAGCACCAGTATCAGCAACAGCACCAGCAGCAGCTCCAGCAGCAGCCCCAGCACCAGCATCAGCACCAGCACCAGCATCAGCACCAGAACCAGCACAAGAACTGGTACAGGCACCAGCCCAAGCTCCAGCACCAGCATCAGTATCATTATCAACACCAGCACCAGCAGCAGCAGCAGCATCAGTATCAGCATCAGCACCAGCACCAGCACCAGCACCAGCACGAGCTCCAGCACCAGCTCCGGCTCCAGCTCCAGCACTAGTAAAGGCACCAGTAAAGCACCAGCACCAGTAAAAGCACCAGCACCAGCACAAGCACCGGTTCCAGCACAAGCCTTGGCACCAGAACCAGCACCAGCACAACCAGAAGCACCACCACCACCACCAGCAGCAGCCTAAACAACAGGTCAAGCAGAAGCAACAGGACCAGCACCAACACAAGCAGCATCACAAGCAATTGGACCAGCACAAGAGCCTGCACCAGCACCAACACCAGCACCAGCATAAGCACAGAAAACAGCACCAGCATCTCCACCAGCACCAGCACTAGCACCATAACCAGCAGCAGGTCCGGCAATAGTACAGGCACCAGCACAGGCACCAACACCAGCACCAGCACTAACACCACCACCTGCACTAAAACTAGCCTAAGCACCAGGACAGGCACAAGCTACTGCACCACCACATCAGCAACAGCACCAGCTCCAGCAGTAGCATCAGCACCAGCACCAGCACCAGCCTAAGCCTCAGCACCAGCACTAGCACTAGTACAAGAACCAGCACAAGCACCTGTATCAGCACCAGCACCAGCCCCAGCACCAGCACCAGCAGCAGCACCAACACCAACACCAGCTACAGCACCAGCACAAGCATCAGCACAAGCACCAGCTCCTGCATAAGCACCAGGACAGGCACAAGCGCCAGCATCAGCAAAAGCGCCGGCACCAGCCCAGGCTCCAGCACTTATTCAGGCACCAGCACAGGCACCAGCACAAGCACTAGGACCAATAACACCTCCACCTCCAGCACCAGCACAGGCACCAGCACCAGCACCAGCTCCAGCATTAGCACCAGCACCAGCACAAGCTTCATCACCAGCACAAGCACTTGCACCAGTACAAGATCTGGCAGTGGCCTAAGCTCCAGCACAAACACAGATACGAGCACCAGCACCAGCACAGGCAGCAGCACCAGCACCAGCTCCAGCATTAGCACCAGCACCAGCACAAGCTTCATCACCAGCACAAGCACTTGCACTAGTACAAGATATGGCAGTGGCCTAAGCTCCAGCACAAACACAGATACGAGCACCAGCACAAGCACAAGCACCAGCACCGGCACAAGCACAGGCACCAGTTCCAGCACCAGCACCAGCACCAGCACAAGCACCAGCACCAGTACTAGCACTAGCACATGCACAAGCACAAGCACCAGCACAAGCACCAGCACAAGCACCGGTACCAGCACAAGCACTTGTACAAGCACAAGCACCTGCACTAAAACCAGCACAAGCACCAGCACCAGCACCAGCACCAGCACTAGTACAAGCACCATAACGAGCGTCGCTAACAGCCCAGGAACCAGCCTAAGCACCAGGAGAGGCACAAGCGCTAGTACTAATACCAATACCAGCACCAGATCAATAACTAGTACAGGAACCAGCACAAGCATCGACACCTGCCCAGGACCCAGCTCAAGCACCATCACCAGCAGAAGCACTGGATCCAGTACAAGTTCCAGCACTAAAACCAGCACCACCACCAGCAACATCACCAGCACCAGCACCAGTACAGGCAAAAACGCCAGCAGCAGCACCAACACAAGCAACGGTACAAGCACCAGCATCAGGCCCAGCAACAGCACTAGCACCTGAACCAGAACCAGAACCAGGACAAGCTCCAGCACTAGTACAGGCACCAGTACAGGCTCCAGCACCAGCACCAGCTCCAGTACTAGTACAGGCACCAGCAAAAGCGCCGGAGCCAACCCAATCTCCCGCACTAATACAGGCATCAGCACAAGCGCCAGTACCGGCCCAGACACCAGAACAAGAACCAGCACCAGTACCAACAAAAGCATCGGGTCCAGCACAAGAACCATCACCACCTCCCGCAATAGCACCAGCACCATCACCAGTACCCGCCCAAGCACCAGGACAGGCACAAGCTTAAGCATCAGCAAAAGCAACGGCACAGGCATCAGCACCAGCATCAGCATTAGTACAGGCACCAGCACAGGCACAAAAATAGGCACAAGCGCCAGCACCAGCACCAACACCAACAGAAGCACTGGGTCAAGCAGAAGCACAAGCACCACCACCAGCACCAGCACAACCACAGCACCACAAACAGCACCAGCTTCCGCCTAAGCACCAGGCCAGGCACAAGCGCCAGCATCAACAAAAGCAATGGCACCAGTACCAGCACCAGCACCAGCACCAGCACCAGCACCAGCACCAGCAGCAGCACAAGCACTGGATCCAGTACTAGTTCAAGCACTAAAGCCAGCACCACCACCAGCAACATCACCAGCACCAGCACCAGTACAGGCAAAAACGCCAGCAGCAGCAGCAACACAAGCAACGTTACAAGCACCAGCATCAGGCCCAGCAACAGCACTAGCACCTGAACCAGAACCAGAACCAGGACAAGCTCCAGCACTAGTACAGGCACCAGCACAGGCACCAGCACAAACACCAGCTCCAGCACTAGTACAGGCATCAGCAAAAGCGCCGGCACCAACCCAATCTCCAGCACTAATACAGGCACCAGCACAAGCGCCAGCACCGGCTGGGGCACCATGACAAGCAACAGCACCATCACCAGCTCCAAGATCAGTACATGCACCTGCACAAGTGCCACTACAAAGAGCAGCACAAGCAACAGCACGAAAACCAGCACCAGCACAAACACCGTGTCCAGCAATTGCACCAGCACCAACATCAGCACAGGCACCAACACAAGCACAAGCACCAGCTTCAGAACCAGCAACAGCACCAGCAGCAACACAAGAACCAGCACAAGCACTAGCACCAGCACCAGCAGCAGCCCCAGCACCAGCACTAGTACCAAGCACCAGAACCAGAACCAGCATCAGCATCAGTATCAGCATCCGCATAAGCACCAGCACCAGCATCAGAACCAGCATCAGTATCAGCATCAGCATCAGCACCAGCACAACCACCAGCACCAGAACCAGCACCAGCACAAGAACTAGCACCAGCATCAGCAACCAAACCAGCAACATTGAAAGCAAAAGCACCAGCACCAGCCTAAGCCCCAGGACAGGCACCAGCACTAGCACCAACAAACCAGCACCAGCAACAGCACCAGCACTGGCACTAGGACAGGCACAACCACCAGCACCAGTACCAGCACTAGCAGCAGCACCAGATATAGCACCAGAACCAGCATCAACACCAGCACAAGCTCCAGCACAAGCACTTGCACTAGAACAAGAGCCGGCAGTAGCCCAAGCTTTAGCACAAAAAAAGATACGAGCACCACCACAAGCACAAGCTACAGCACCAGCACCAGCTCCAGCACTAGTACAGGCACCAGCACATGCACCAGCACATTCACCAGCACAGGCACCAGCACTGGCACCAACACCAGCAACAGCACCACCACCAGCACCAGCACCAGCATCAGCATCCGCACCAGCACTAGCACCAGCCCAAGCAAAAGCACCAGAACCAGCACAAGAACCGGTATGACCACCAGCACAAGCTCCAGCACCGGCACCAGCACAAGTATCAGCACCAGCACCAGCACCAGCACCAGCATCAGCACAGGCATCAGCATCAGCATCACCCCCAACACTGGCACATCCACCAGCACCATCACCTGGACAGACACCAGCAAAAGCACCAGCTCCAGCCTAAGCATCAGCACCAGCACTAACACAACCACCAGCATAAGCTTCAGGTCAGGCACAAGAACAAGTACCAACAAACCAGCACCAGCACAGGCACCAGCACAGGCACCAACACGAGCACCAGCACTAACACCAACATATGCACCAAAAGTAGCCTAAGAATCAGGAAAGGCAAAAGCGACACCACCACCAATCTAGCACCAGCACCAGCTCCAGGATCAGCATGAGCACCAGCACCAGCCTAAGCAGCTGCACCAGCACTAACATCAGCACCAGCACAGGAACCAGCACCAACACCAGCACCAGCTCCAGCACCAGCTCCAGCTCCAGCATTAGTACAGGCACCGGCACATACGCCGGCACCAGCGCAGGCACCAGCAGAAGCACCAGGACCAATACCACAACCAGCACTAGCACAGGCAACAGCACCAGCATAGGCTCCAGCATTAGCACCAGCTTCATTACCATCTTCATCACCAGCACAAGCATTTGCACTGGTAAAAGAGCTAGCAGTGGCCTAAGCCCCAGTACAAACACAGATACGAGCATCAGCACAAGCACAAGCAAAAGCTTCAGTACACGCACCAGCACAAGCACCAGGACCAATATCTCCACAAGCACCAGCACAGGCACCAGCAGCACCAGCTCCAGCAATAGCACCATCACCAGCACCAGCACGAGCATTATCACCAGCAGAAGCACCTGCACTAGTACAAGAGCCGGCACTGGCCCAAACTTCATCACAAACACAGATACGAGCACCAGCACAAGCACAAGCACAAGCACAAGCTTCAGTACCAGCACCAGCACCAGCTCCAGCACTAGTGAAGGCAACATCACAGGCACCAAAACAGGCACCAGCTCCGGCACCAGAACCAGCACCAGCACCTGCACCAGCACCTGCACCAGCACCTGCACCAGCACCTGCACCAGCACCTGCACCAGCACCTGCACCAGCACCAGCCTAAGCACCAGGACAGGCACTCCAGCTGCAGCACTAGTACAGGCACCACCACAGGCTCCAGCACCAGCATCAGCACCAGCACCAACACCAGCACTAGCACCAGCACTATCACCAGCACCAGAACCAGCACATGAAGCAGTAAGGGCACAAGCACAAGCTCCAGCACCATACCACCACCAGCACCACCAACAGCACCAGCACCAACCTAGGCACCAGGACCGGCACAAGCGCCAGCACCAGCACCAGCACAAGCAACGGCACAAGCACAGGCACTAGCATCAGCACCAGCACAAGCATCAGCACTAGCACCAGAACCATTACCAGCTCCAGCAATATTACAGGCACCAGCACAGGCACCAGAACCAACACCAGCACCAGCACCATCACGAACATTTCCACCAGCACAAGCACTAGCCTAAGCACCAGCGCAGGCACAAGAACAGGCACAAGCGCCACCACCAACACCAGCACAAGCACCGGTACAAGCAACAGTACGAGCTCCAGTACAAGCACCAGCACAAGCGCCGACACCTGCATAGGCACAAGCACAAGCCAGAGAACCAGCACCAGAACAAGCACCAGGACCGGCACAAGTGCCAGCATCAGCACCAACACCAGCACAAGCAGCGATAGAGGCATCAGCAGCAAGACCAGTACAAGCAGTAGCAGGGTAACCAGAACCAGCACAAACTCCAGCACTAGTACAGGCACCAGCACCAGCGCCAGCGCCAGCACCAGCACCAGCTCCAGCCCCAGCATTAGCAGCAGCACCAGCCTAAGCACCAACACAAACACCAGCACTAGTACAGGCACCAGCACAGCCACCAAGACCAACACAAGCACCAACACCACCAACAGCACAGGCACAGTACCAGCACCAGAACCGGGACAGGCACCAGCACCAGCACAAGAACCAGCACCAGCATCTGCTCAATAACTAGTACAGGAACCATCAAAAGCACCGACACTAGCCTAAGCACCAGCTCCAGCACCAGCACCAGCGCCAGCACCAGCTCCAGCACCAGCTGAACTAGCACTAAGCACAAGGTCAGCCACAAGCGCCAGCACCAGCACCAAAACCAGCAACTTCAGATGCAACAGCACAGACACAACCACCAGCACCAGTACCACCACCAGCACCAGCATCAGCATTAGCACTATCACCAGAACCAGCACCAGCACCAGCTCAGGCTCCAGCACTTGTACAGGCACTTGTACAGGCACCAGCACAAGCGCCGGAACCGGCCCAGGCACCAGCACAAGCACAAGCACCGGTTCCAGCACAAGCACCAGCACCACCACCAGCACCACCACTAATACCACCACCAGCACCTCAACCAGCACCACCACCAGCCTAAGCACCAGAACAGGCATAAGCGCCAGCCTCAGCACAAGCAATGGCACAGGCACCAGCACAAGCACCAGCATCAACACCAGCAGCAGCAGAAGCACGAGGACAGGCACAAGCGCCACCACCAACACCAGCACAAGCGCCAGTACAAGCAACAGTACGAGCACCAGTACAAGCACAAGCAAAACTGGCGACACCTACACAGGGACAAGCACAAGCCAGAGAACCAGCACCAGAACAAGCACCAGGAACGGCACAAGCGCTAGCACCAGCACCAACACCAGCACAAGCAACTGCACCAGCATAGGCACCAGCGCCAGCACCTGCACTAGCTCCAGCAGCAGCACCAGCATTAGCACTAGTACAAGCACCTTCACGAGTGCCGCCAACAGCCCAAGCACCAGCACAAGAACCGTTTCCAGCACCAACACAAGCACCAGCACCAGCAAAAGCACAAGCACCAGCATTAGCACCAGCACTAGCTCCAGCCCAACCACTAGCACCAGAAACAGCACAAGAACCGTTACAAGCATCATCAGAAACACCAGCACCAGCACAAGCATCAGCACGAGCATCATCACCAACACCACTACAAGCACCAGCACAAGCACCAGCAAAAGCACCAGCACCATCACCAGCACCACCACCACCAGCACCAGCACTAAGAACCACGTCAGCCATAAGCGCCAGCACCTGCACCAAAACCAGCAACATCAGAAGCAACAGCACAGGCATAACCACCAGCACCAGTACCATAGATGAAAAGGCTGGGAAAAGTCGGGATAGGCTAGAATTGGTGGTGAACACAGACGAAGTTTCAGATCTTCAAAAGCTTTCTCAAACGTCTCTTCCCAGACAAAAGGAACTAACTTCGGCGTAAGGCGGTTGAGAGGCGAAGCAATCTTGGCAAAGTCCTTCACAAAGCGACGGTAATAATTGGACAATCCTAAAAAACTTGGCACATCTTTCACAGACTTTGGGACAGGAAATGTTCTTACGGCATCAAGTTTACTAGGGTCAGGCAAAATCCATTCCGAAGATACAACGAATCCAAGAAAATCCACCAAAGTTCGCGCGAAATGACATTTGGAAGGCTTGAGTTTGAGGTTGGAATCGCGCAATCGACCAAATACAGCAGTGAGTCGTGATAAATGCTCTTCAAAAGATGACGAAAATATGATTACGTCAGTGATGTAAACAAGGCAGATCTGCCAATCGAGGCCATGCAGTACGCGTTGCATTAGGCGCTGAAACGTGGGAGGCGCATTTGTTAGGCCGAAACTCATTACATTGTATTCGTACAGCCCCGCATGAGATATAAACACAGTTTTCTCTATGGAATCTGAATCCATGACCACTTGATGGTAACCAGACAGAAGGTTTAGCGTTGTAAAATATTGTGCGCCAGCAAGAGCATCAAGAGCGTCGTCAGTTCGTGGTAACGGGTAACTGTCCTTTCTGGTCAATGCGTTCAGTTTGCGATAATCGACACAGAAGCGTGTGGTCCCGTCTTTCTTTTTGACAAGTACTATTGGGGAGCTCCAAGGGCTGCTAGAAACTTTGATAATACCTTGGTCAAGCAGAGTCCCAATCTGACTCTCAATTTTGTTTTTCTGAGAGTGGGATGCCCTGTATGGTGGCTGCTTGATTGGTCTTGCGTCACCCGTGTCAATGTGATGACGTATTTCAGTCGTCCGGCCAAGATCTACACTCGATGAGGCAAAAATGTCGGCAAACTGTCAAAGGAGAGAATTAAGGCGATTGTTTTCCAATGTCGTTAAATTGGGACTTGGTAAGCATTTAAACATGGCAGTCACATTATTACTGTCAACGTTGTTACATTTTCCACGGAGGAAACTACTGGGTCATGCTTTAATTCAGTGATACTGTCATCAGTGGCTAATTCGCAAAATGTGCCAATGGATGTCCCCTTATGTAGTAAAACAGGCGCATCGTTCGGGTTAATCAAACAAAAAGTGAAACAGTTATCAGTATCTGGTACTGATAAGGCGGCAGCGGCAATCAAATTATAGTTTTCGACTAATTTCATGTTTGCTTCAATCAAACCAACTACAGGATCGATAGGCTTGGCTAAATAAGCACCAGGAACCACATACGCGTGGAGGAAATCCCTCCCAAGAACGATATCGTATGCAAGGTCAGGCACGACAGAGGCATTGCAATTATACAGGTGTTTACCAATAGTAGCATCAAATGAAAGAAGACCTATCACGGCAGTTGTGTTTCCATCGGCAGTTTTAATGTTATCGACAGTGTTTTGCTGTAATAGAAAACTGGGCCTCAAAGTATTCTTGTAAAATTGTTCACTAACAGCGCTTATAGCAGCTCCGGTGTCAACTAACAATCGAACTTTTTGACTTGAAACAGTCCCAAAAATAGAAACCTTTGATATTGTACTTTTTTGTGAGTCTATGCAAGGCATGATGTTAGATGAAAATGAGTCACTTTGGGAATTTAGAGAAGCAGTTTTCAATTCATTATCTTGCTTAAAAGTGCTCTGTCGTTTTGAGAGCCATGAGTCAAAATCTCTATCTTTAGTGGCGTCTCTTAATTGAGTTTATTAATTAAGATTCCGTTTGAATCTTGTTGATACTCCTGAAATTGCTGAAAACGAGGTTGTGGCCGTGGCTGAAAACGCGGCTGTGGCAGTGGTTGCAACTGAAAACGTGGCTGTGGCTGAGGTTGCGGCTGAAAACGGAACTAGAAAAAGTCAAAATTATCAATTGGAAAGAAAACCACACCAAAAAACAAGTTTTTGGGACATTTAAAAACACGTTTGAGTTCTCTAATGCCGCTGAAAGTTTAAATTTTCAAAGTTTTTAAGGAAATTTTTAAAGCTGCAAATTGAAAACTAACATTTCAATTGTGAATGAAACATGAACCAAATATTTTGTTGACAATTGCTGACCATATTTCAATTTGCCGTACCTTCAAAAATAATCTGTTAAATTTCTGTTTCAGTATATTCCATAGTTTCAGAGAAAAGTGCATTCATACAAAAATATATCAAAATTTTTTTTTCATATACAAAATCAGAAATATAAGGGTTTACTTTGTACGGTTTAGACTTTACAAAAAAGTAAGAAACTAAGGAACTACAAAAAGTCAAAATTATCAATTAGAAAGTGAACCACACCAGAAAAACAAGTTTCTGGGACATTTAAAAACATTTTTGAGTCCTCTAATGCCGCTGAAAGTTTGAAATTACAAAGTTTGTAAGGAAATTTTTAAAGCTGCAAATTGAAAACTAACATTTCAATTGTAAATAAAACATGAACCAAATATTTTTCGACAATTGCTGACCATAATTGAACTTGCCGTACCTTCAAGAATAATGTGATAAATTTTCGTTTAAGTATCTTCTATAGTTTTAGAGAAAATTGCATTCATACAAAGATAAATCAAGATTTTTTGTTTCATATACAAAATCAGATAAAAGGGTTTACTTTATACGGTTGAGATTTTAGAAAAAACTTTGAAACTAAAAACCTAGATAAAGTCAAAATTATCAATTAGAAAGTGAACTACACCAGAAAAACAAGTTTCTTGGACATTTAAAAACATTTTTGATTCCTCTAATGCCGCTGAAAGTTTAAAATTACAAAGTTTTTAAGGAAGTTTTTTAAGCTGCAAATTGAAAACTAACATTTGACTTGTGAATAAAACATGAACCAAATAATTTGTTGACAATTGCTGACCATTTTTCAATTAGCCGTACCTTCAAGA